AACATATCAAACATTCTTTTGGCTCCAGAGTCTGGCTTTAAAATATTATTTTATCTACTGTATTATTTGCAATTTGTAAATTATAACCTTATATGACTTGAGAACTGCAGCTGTACACAATTTAGTTTTTTAATATTGATTTGAACAAGTTGTATAAGATTGTTTTGCTTGATTATTCAAATAAAAATTTTATAAAATTATTTGCATGTATGTACTATGTTTACATTGTTGTGTGTCTACCTGGACGTGCTTACCTCTCTCCATTGGGGGCACGGTTCAAACCGGTTCACTGAACCGAGTGGTGCCCCCCCCCCCCTCTGTTCAGCGGACAGGCCTAGATCTCCATCGTTCGAGACCACAACAAAGTCGTCAGACCAAAAATATTAACTTGCCTATCTCCATAACATAATTTTGATTGCCAATCTCTGTATATATTGTGGTCTAAAAGCACAATTTTGGGCCATACTAAGCCAGCCATGAAAACTCTCCTTTTAAACACTAACAGGGAATATTTCTGGGCCATGACTGAGGCTACAATTGCCCTGTTGGTTCGTACCTCATGTTGACCCCCCTGTCAAAAAAAATCCTAGAGCGATAAAATGTGAACATTGTGGGACCTGGAGTAACAGTTGATGAACACATAAAATATTTGATTAAAAGAGCAAACCTTTGGAGGTGCTATAGCAATCCTGTCAACCCACCCACACATGGAAACAGGGCTGATAAACAGAATTGATAATAATAATTGGATGACTGGATGGAGGGGATGCAATAAATGGAAGAATGATGGAGGATGATGGGATGGATGATGATGATGATGATTATGGTGGATATAAAATGATGGAGGGATAATGGATGGAAAATGAAATATATATGAATAATATGTAGGAGTAATGTTGGACGGAAGAATTTAATTCAATTCAATACAAATTTCTTTATTGCAATCACATAAAAATACAAATTGAATTTTCAAAAAAATACTATAAGATTTGGTCATATCAAAAATACATAAAAATTCAAAATTTAAAAAGAGCGGACAGATCGAAAACAAGCAGACACAATTACTTTTGATTTATTTTAAATTTATTTCCCTATTTCTGGTTTCATGCATTAATTTATTATTTATTTTTTAAATGTTTTTGAATCATCTACTACAAACTTGGTTAATCGATATTTGAGGAGAGCATTCTTTAAGGCATTTGTATTTTTCTTTAGCCTACTCTCTCTCTTCATTTTCATTAACTTCGTTTTAAAACTGCTTATTTAATAATATGTTTATATTACAATTTATCCTATTTAACTTTCTCAATTTTTTATGTTGATTTGATTTTGAAATACATAAAACATTAAAATGAAATGAAAGACACCAGCAACAATAAAAGAAAAGAAAAAAAAAACTGAAACTTCAAAGGAACCCTTGATCAAGATCATAGAGTCAATTACCATCTTTATAAATACCATAATTTATTATAATTTTTTTGTATCTGTTTGTATTGACTGATAGGGTGTTGAATTCTTTGTCGATGTCGGAGGTTGTAATTGTTGTCAGGGGGAAGAGGTAGAAGGAAATTCAGTCGGTCTCTGTCCTTGAGTTTTCAGTCGGTCTCTGTCATTGAGTTTTCAGTCGGTCTCTGTCATTGAGTTTTCAGTCGGTCTCTGTCCTTGAGTTTTCAGTCGGTCTCTGTCCTTGAGTTTGAGAAAGTACCATTCGCATAATTCAACTACATGCTCTTGACTGCACATTTCAATTTGTTTCTATTAAGATTTTGTTATTTTGAGTCAGACCAGTGTACCATGGAGCAGGAAAAAAAATAGCGGAGGTCGTAAGTTTGTAAGCCTGGTCTACGCAAGCTTAAGGAAATAAGTCCACACAGGGGCAATATTGGTCATATCAACATTATCAAAAAAAGCAGAGGTATATCATTACATTAGCCATAGCTCAAAAAAATACAACCTAGCATTGGTAAAGCAACCCAAAAGCAAATTATAGCATCGTTATATGCTATAGTAGATTGTCTGATAATTATGCTACATATTGATACCGATATTGGTTTAATGTAGCTGGTTGTAGAAGTTTCTAATCCTAAATTATCCTATCCATTGATATTTAAAAATAAATATAAAAAATAAATATTTAAAAGCATTTTAACTGATACTTGCTATGCAATATTTTTATGTAACTGCTATAAAACTGATACATGTTCATGTATCATTTAACTGCTACAATGAATGATATTTGCAGTTGTATAGCTGCTATTTTTCAACTGATATATCTGATGTATTTCTACAGCAGGTTATAATAGCTCCCCCTCTCTCTGCTATATATCTGATACATAATGCGTACTCTCTCAAAATATCTGATTTTTACATTCCTATAGTAGTAATTGTATGTGTAGGAACAAGCTATGCCGTGAAGCTATATCAGCTATGTTTGATAGTAAAAAAAACAAATTAATATGTGTGTCCTTCAGTTGAAATG